GGAACACGTGTGTGTTTGTTTTGGCAGAATTTCGAATGGGGCACCCGTAGGTTTCTGCCATGCCCCGGGGGTGGGGGATGGCAGCACTTGCTCTCCGGTCACCGCGACTTGTCCGGAGAAAAATGCCGCCCGGTGGCCGAGGATCGAACGGCGACCGGCTGCGTCGCAGCAGAAGAGTCAGACCACTCGGTCACCTCGTCCCCCTAAATATTTTTATTTGCGTATGTTAACACTCAATAAGTACACGAATATGGAGTATAACTTTAATTGTTTTATGTTGAAATTATTTTATAGACTCATACGGTTTCAAGACATCTTTGTGGACACATCCGTTCATAAATTTGGAATGCCCTAGTCACGAGATGGCAAAAAACAAGGGTTACTTTGTGAAAAGTACTTCCGGCTCTGTTAATACTACGTGGTGGAATGGCGAAGCGTCTTATATAGACTTCACGAATCTCGAAGCAGCGACATGGTGGTCTAATGCTCTTCATAGTTTGCTAGCGAAATCTGGTATTGATACATTGAAGTTTGATGCAGGAGAAGCCACTTGGTATGTTTAAGTAAAAATTCTGAATTTTAATTTACGAGGAAAAATACAAACCTCATACTATTTAAAACATGCCATAGGACTTTTAATTTGAAATATTTTGCTTAATTCAATTAGTCATAAATATGACATACACCGTGCTAGATCAGAGTTTCAGCATGTTAATTACAAAGCATTCATCATTTCTATAAAACACTATACATAAATTATTATGTATACCTAGTGTATAATATAGCCTGGTGTGGCTCGGTGGTTGTTCTCAGTCACAAAACGTGTTCTATAGTATATCACTATAGTTTCCGAATGGGTGACCACCTGGGTTTTTAGTGACAAAGCATCATTAAATATACACTTGTTCAAACCAACTTTGCCCCCTCTTGCAATAAAAAACAACTTAAAATAACCGTCGCCCAATGACCTATGTTGCCTTGGGTTCAGTTATAAAATTAAAAAAAAAATGTATATTATACTTGTATTTTTTATTTATACACACAGTACGTAAAAACAACTATAGAATCGAAGTGTTAAAGAATAAGTTTCTATAAAATAATATACAACTAATAATTAATTTCTTATCTTCAGCAATACATAATTAACAGTATTTTATTTTTATTTTTACACAGGACCCCGCAACTCCCAGAATATTACGATGATGATCTGACTTACTACCCTGAGAATATCGTGAATGCATACCTCCGGACAATTGAGACCTTTGGTAATGGTGTCGAGTACAGACCATCTAGAAGAAGTCAACACTTTGGCCGTCTGATAAGAATGATTGATCGTGAGTCTCGGTGGGATTACCAACTTGGACTTCCCACATTAATAACATCTCTGATACAAATGAATATGGTCGGATATTCGTTTGTACTACCTGACATGATCGGCGGAGACGGTAACTTCGATTTACCACCTTCCAAAGAGATGTATATTAGATGGTTGCAAGCAAATCTATTTATGCCTGTTGTTCAGTTTTCGTACACACCTTGGGATTTTGATCAACAGGTAACGACAAGAGTTGAACAATAGCAAGTATTGCTATTGAAAAAAAAAAACATTAAATCAATTGAATTCTCAAAGTTATGCACCATTTAATTTTTAACTTACTATTTTTAGACAGTAAATATATGCAGACATTTAATGAATCTCCGTGCTAACTATACGGACACCATTATCCAACTAATGAGAAATTGTGTAAGTAAAGGCAGTCCATTGAATCCTCCAGTCTGGTGGATCGACCCTACTGATCCAGTCGCCCAAACAATTGATGACGGTTAGAAAATATATTTCAATTTTGAGTACCTAAATATATTTATGAAGCAATTAAATAATTTATTTTTGAACTTGATTTGTATAGAATATCTTTTGGGAGAAAATATCCTTGTGGCTCCGGTTATTATTGAAGGGGCCACTTCTCGAGATGTTTACTTGCCTTCTGGAATTTGGAGAGATGAGAACCATCCGAATTCACACCTCATTAAAGGCAGGAAGTGGTTGCGCAACTACCCTGCCAAGCTCGATGTTCTCCCGTGGTTCACAAGAGTCAGAGCTAGTCCCCATGTGTTCCAGTGAATTTCTCACAATGTTTATTTTACCTAGTTCAAATTGTATACATATTTTATATTTTTTTTGAATCTAAAAATAAAATTTGTGTTTTTTTAAATATTGTTACATTGACTGTCTTAAAATTACTCTATCATTTTTAATTTTTACTTTTTTTGATTAGGTAAGTTACCTAATTTTGATAGATTAAACTTGTACTATTAGTGGTGCTGTATTTTTCGGTAACTATTAAAACAATGTGTTTCACTGATATACGGTTGATAGCGACCAATTAATACCAAACGTATTGTGAATGATAAGGTTTAGAAGTAAGGCAAAATAATTACTTCTCCCGAGTAAAATTTAACGTTTATTGAAATAAAATGTTAAATAGGTAATATTATAAATTATTTTACTTTACTTACCGATGAACTGCCGTAGCAAGCGACGAAACGAGACTGGTTCGGCACACGCATATCTAGCAGGCCGAGTAATTATTATTTTAAATGTTATTAATTAATCAAAATAATTAAACCTAAATATTAGGTGGATAAATATGGAGACATAATGATATTATGTAAGAAACATTTACTATAAAAATATACTGACGACAAAAATGTAAGTACCTACCACCTACCTACTTTCAAACGTTCGATTTAAAAAATATAAATATGTTTGAATGCATAAAAAGATTACTTTGCTGGATTGCTACATTTTATCAATTAAAAATTTTTTTTATATTTAATCTTTTAAAATTATTTGAAATTTATGCTCCAGCCGATGCTAAGTAAATTTGTTTACAAAGTCAGAAATCTTTAATTTTTTTAAAATCAGACCAATAAAAGTACCTTCATTTTCTCGCCAGTCAGTAAAGTCGTTTTGATTGAAAATTGATTGAGTTCGCAGGCGCGTTAAAATAAAGGTAAAGAACAAATAACAGTCCATCAACCCAAAAGATGACAAAATGTGAAAAACAATAAGAGATAACCTTAAATAGATTGTAAGGAGTACCTTAAAATACTCTTTCCCACTGACTGGCCCTAATGGTTCTCATTGGATGTACTCGATACAGAAAAAAAGTCAACATTTTCAGCTTAACTATTAACTTAGTTATTCGCGTCACATACTGTCGAAATACTTGACACTGAATTCTAAGATAGTGTAGTGACTCCTCATCTAAGTTCATCACAATTAGCTATCTGGTGGTTTAGGTTAGGTATTGAGGTGCCATTTTAGAATAAAAACGTACCGATATTAAGTTGTGACATAGCAGTTAACTGTCATTAGAACTTAGTACTATCTAGCACATTAATTCATCCCAAACAAATTACAATAAATAACAATATGTTATATTTTAGCTCTAGAATATTTTACAGTAGGTATAGATTAGACAATAATAATGTTATATAGTATTTGATATATTTTCTTTTTTTCTTTTTCAGTACTTTAAACATGCCATACCTATTATGTTTTTGGGCTGAATATACATTATTTTTTAAACTTATTTTTTTCCCCGACACTTTGTAGTCACCGTAAAAATGTTATAAAAAACATATATATGTATATTCAAAATTAACCTGTATATATCTTATTTATAATTCATATTAAGTTTCTAACGAAATGCAGTATGCTTCTAGATATTTTTTCACTGCATCATACCCAAAAACATATCTATGATTCCTTAATTTTACAGATGAAAAATATCTGGTATCGTGCCACATTATTTATATTTTTTTTCGATTTATGTCGGACAACATATTTGTCTCAGAGGAAAAAACCTTGAAAATCAAATACGATTTTCATCTTAAGTTTTAAAATAAAAAATATCAAGGTCACAGTTTATTTTTTACAAGCAATTAAATTTCCAGTTTTGGCAAAATTCGTAAGTATCAAGAAAATGTCCATAAATACTAATTTGTTGTTAAACATAACTTATTCAATTTGTATAGCTTATGTTTGAACATTTAAAACAAGCTTTTCCATTAATAGTTGATATTGAAACACAAAAATCTTAATCATATTCAAGCCAAGATAATTTTTTATAGGAATTTAAAGTTGTAAATTGTCGAAATTGGTATTCAGACGAAAAACTATAGGTTGATAAATGATAGGTAACGTTTTTTGTTTATTTTGTTGTAATCAAAAATATTCACGGAGACCCAAAACTTGTATTATGTGTACTCTTTTACGCAATGACATTTTCGAAATATTTAGACTAATATCAAGCTAATGAAAATTTATTCAACAAACCTGTTCTAGAATAATTGGTATTGACTACTAAAAAGTTAATATCAATAATAATATATGGTATGGCATATAATATGTATATTACATGCAATTATTATAGTAATTATTGTGATACTTATGGTAAAATAACTTTAATAGCAGTATATACAAATATACTAAGTAATATTATGATATTTTGCTAACAGACGGTTTCCGCTCAGAATCGTTTTTCGTATAGGTATACCTGTATAGTGGTTAATCGAATGTTTGTTTAGAATTTAACACGTCCGTCGCAGCTGCAGTGACCTACTCAATGACGGTGTTTACACGATACCTAGTGACTAGTGTGCGGTAGATTGGTTACTTACTTGCTCAAATTTTATTTATTGAGACTTATGAGTCCTTGGCTGACGGGAAGCATTTAGTTTATCTAATCTAGCACGTTTTAAGTTTTTTTTTTTTAAATGTTAAATAACAATTATAATATTATCATCAATAAAATGTATTTATTCTATATAATCTCACGTATAATGTCGAACATGTCGAAGATAACTGTTCTTTTTTCTTCACATTATTGAATACGAATTTCAATTAATAAAAATGAATAACAATCGATTCGTTGATTTCAACAGGTTCACGACCACCTGCCAGCAATAGTGGACGTCGGGATTTCTTTAGACGAATCGGCAATGTCAAGTGCAATATTGACAATGCGGTCTATTATTTGTATAATACGGAATTATTTGACACCATGTCTTGTTTTGTTCTAACAAATATTATATGTTGATTCTTTATTCTTAAGACTTTTTACCCATCGATTAGGTTGCAGCGGTTACTTGGTTTAAAAATCTATTAGATATATAGCGATATTATCGTCAATATACTTTTTCTGTGTGGGTAACCACCTCAAGTTACTCGCTTGGTGGTATTATTATTGTATTTGTTTTATGCGGCTGCAGGGCTGTATTTTTTTTTTTTCGNTAACCACCTCAAGTTACTCGCTTGGTGGTATTATTATTGTATGTGAAATTTGCCCCGGGCGGCCAAATATTGATCTATTTAGGGCGGTGGCCGGGCACCGCTGTAGCTGGGTGTAGTATTGTATTTTTTTTTTTTAGGAAAGAATATGTACTATGATATGGCCATAATTTAGTGGTGTAATTTGTCAATCAACGATAACTGATAAGTGCGGCTAGCATAGAAGAATGGAATATAATTAATATTATTTTAACATAACCACTGTTGTAGATAGACAAACCATGACATAACCATAAAGAATTATTATAACTAAGAATGTGTTAAGAAAAATCAAAAAAGTAGATCTATGTTTTGGTGAGGGAAGGGGAGGGGGCGTAAAAGTATGGTTAACCCAGGGCGAAAAAATTGTGAACACAGCCCTGTGCGGCTGTTTTTTTAAAACCAATATTGTATACCGGTCGTGAAAGCCAACGTGCATTCCCATATTATAGTAAATAATATACATTTATTTACTCGTCTGTAGTGGCTATACGAGTATAATGTTAAAATGTTTTTATTTATTTATTGCACTGATTTCGTTAATTATTATTTAATGTAATAATTAAGATAATAATATGTCATAACATCATTATAATAATATTGAAGGACTACCTGCAAGCGTTTATTAAATAATTCGATTGTAACACAATATGTTATTTAAATTAGATAACTATAAAATGATTTAGAGTAATTGGCATTGAACAAAAAAAAAAACAAATTGCTCAAATTTGGTTTTAATTAAGTTTACTAATTAGTCAACCTAATTAAAAAGTAGTAGCGTAGCGATATCCTATTTTTGTTATGCACTCCCTTTCTATCGACTGTTCCCAGACAATACCTTTCCCTCACCATTTTTCGATTAGAGATTAGCAGCAGCATTCCGATATAAATTAAGTTTGGATCGTAATGTAATACTAATTTAAATTTGTTGTTGATTTGTCTGCAGTACAAATACTTTTAGAAGATTATAACAGTTATATTTGAATCAAATTTGGTTTAATTCACGAAAATATTTCTTTAAGGGGCCTCGTCGTTACAGCTATTATTTAAAAGGCTATATTTAGGCAATTTATAGTCTAGTTTTAACCTCCCGGGATCTATGTGTTAGTTGTAAATAATTATTAGTTTGAGTAAGTCACTCTCGTAAGTGCATGCACATGTCTATAATTCGATAGGTAACATAATACAATTCACTATACGATTTTTAAGACAACTATTACTTATAAGTACAGTATACTGTTTTGACAAGTTTTAAAGTTCGTGAATTTTGTCTAATTTTGATTCTGGAAAAATATCTAGATGCATCAAAAAATTTCTGTAGATCATACAAGACACTTTCCGTTTTAATTTTAATTATTATTTTACAAAGTTCATATTATCAAATTTTTAACTACAGTTTATAATAATATGAGATTTAATTTTTACTGAGTGTCTTAAAAGATCTATAGACTAATTTCTGTCGAGTTAAAATTTTTTTTCAGAATAAACATAAGACAACGTAGACTATCTTCATTTTTGTCAAAACTGAAGGTCTTTTGAACTAACATTGAGAGCAGCAGCAGAGAGACCCCCTAAGCAGAATATCTTGTCAAATAAAATTTTGTTACGCTATTTACGTGTCACTGCAGTCATAGATGTACTACCCACGATAAGAAAGCACGGCATCTTGAATTTCTAAATCACAAAGATGCGTAGTTCGCAAACAGCTGCTTAACTAAATAAATGAGTTGAAATAAATATGGTCACAAGTCATTTTCTCTATCCGTTCCTGAAAATTTTCACGGTCAAAACATGTCTGTCCGTAAAGGAAATTGAAATCGAGAATCATAAATTGTGGGACCCACTCTATGAGTTTGTTTGTACTCATTTTACGAGAGTCACTCGATACTCGAACAGATGTACCACAAAAATCGTGTTGTGTCATACGTAACGTGACCAAAAGTCCCGCTTTCCAGCTTTGTGTCCCGCTGTCCCCAAATGACCTAAAAATGTCTCTCTTTGAGAAAAGGTGACCTGCGATAAGTATTTAACCTAAAATCACTATGCGGAGATATAATATATACACATATTATACTATATATATATATATAGATACGCACACTGTATATACAGGCGTAAATGTACTATGAAAGTGTAACATCAATAGTGAATGGGTAAAAATGATACGAAAATTACCTAATTGTAGCTGCAGCTAGTTATCACTTATCGCTGCCACTACGTCGTGGTCTGCGAGAATCGCCAATAAACGGACTACCCATATTATATATTATTATTTACTAATATTTATTGTCTTAGTTGTTCCACCGCCTTGTTCGGTTACTTTGCGGATCCGAAAAATACAGGAAACCAACCGAATAATTTACTCTATTATTAAATCATTATTATTCATCATTATTATTGTTATCATTACTGTTAATACATTGCCTAGGTTTTCAGTTTTCATTTTTTATTAAAAAATTAATGTTTTTTTTTAAAATTAAAACGCACCGTGTTTCACTATATTTCTAGTGTTGTCATTTTACGCGAAATTATATGATTTTCCTATTAAAACTAACTGGTGTCCCGCTTTAAAGGAAAACAATTATGGTCACATTAAACATACACCATGTGTCCATGTCGCTTAGCCAGCCTTTAAAAGTCACTTTTAGCATCTATAGTGCTAAATGACTAAAATCATATTTTAAAAATCATGAATACCTACTACCTACGATTTTTTTTTTTATTCATTTTTACTCATTTCATATTAAAACTATTTTTGTATTAAATTTAATTGTTGATGCAATATTAAGTGACTAAATTTAGGTATTTTGACGAATGGTTTTGCAAAAACTTCAATTATATATTATACATATAGTCTGCACTTTCTGGTAATTACATATTATTATGAAACCAATCTATACAAGGTCACGTTGAACAAGAAGAAATAAATATAATTCGTTACTTTTAATAATTTCCACAGGCTAAAGTTGATTCTTATCGAGGCTATTAAAATATAATATCTTATGAGAAACTCCTGAGATCATATTAAAAAGGAGGAAGGGTTTTATTTTTAAAAGATTTGTGTTTTATTATTGATGATAAATTATAAGTGAAATAGTTTTGAACAATGATCAGAAGAAAAATCATATTTAAAATAATTAAGGATCATACCAACATAAATTTGCATCATTCATAGTAAATTATTGTATGCATTAAGAACAAAAAAAAATATTTAAAAAACACATGTTATGATTTTAGACGATGCCAATTAAGATGCAAGAACAATATCTGTATTTGAAAGACGTATTTAGCATATTATTTTCAATCAAGACAATTTTAAGTTATAATATTTCACATAGGTTATCATAATATATCTATCCTATATTGATTGTAAACTGTCATTCGTTTTATTAGTTAGTATTATTATCAAGACCAGGCTCTTAAATAGGTGCTTATAATTTTTTTTCCCGTGGGGGAGGGAGTGATGAAGCTTAATTCAAGATTATAATTTAATTTTTTATTTACCACACCATCCCCTTAAATTTCAATTTCGTGCCTGATCAAGACGTAATGGTGAACCATTAAAATATCATAACTGATAAATGACAAGTTATACTTTGCAGAGTACCTACTAATTTTAAAATATCGTAAGATCTATCTGTAAATAGTTCCCATACTATTCATTATTTTGAAATTAAAATAATTACAAACTGGTACAAGTGAAATTTGTGATATTATTGTACAATGAACCGATAAAAATAAACTTTTTTTATTTTGTGTTACATAAAACATAATTTACCTAGGTATTCGATTAAGGTGTTCATAATACATTAATTATTATAATCGATATTGAATTCAAATTAAATACTTCAAAAGATTTTTTTATTATTTAATATATTTTTTCTTATGTTACATAATAACATATTTTATTATACCTGGTGTATGGTTTTTTTTTAACGTTTATGGATGAATATTAAAATAATTTGGGATTTCGGAATAAACAAAAAAAGACGTCTTATGGTATATTTAAAAAAACATATTTTCGATGTCACGAGTTTGGTAGATTGTTATTAATGCCATTTCTGACAATTCTAAAATGTTTAGCGAAATGATGTTATCAGTGTGATTACCAAAAATGAAATTTCCATATTTTGATATCTGCAAATATTTACGACGTATTTTGTAATGATAACTTGTAATATTTTAGCTGTGATTATTAAACATTTCATCATGATTCGATTATATTCCGATCAATAGCTGAAATTATTTTCTTTTTCTTTATATCAAGTAGCATCACTTGACTTAACAGTCGATACATCAAAATGTTTGAATATCGTATAAAACTATACGAATACATAATATCATTTGGAATAAAACCATATGGTCAACAGTATTGAATTACAAACCGTTCATTATGATAGCTTATCATGTCTCAAATAATAAAAAATAATAAATAATAGTTATAACAAACACTATGGAGTGGTATAAAACTTACTTTTCGAAGTGTAAGTAAAAAGAGTGCCTTGTCATTACATACTGTGTGATTTTTTTTCATTTTATAGGTATGTTATATTTCAATAGAGCGAATTATTTAAATAATTGATATTATGCAATAATGTAAATAATGACTTTTTTGTTTATTTTAATTAGAATTTCAATTATATATTATTTACATAAGCAAAACAAAATACTTCAACATTAAAATAATTGAATAAAAAATATAATAATATGACGTGCGATATGAAGTAGGTTATTTATTAGTGTTTATCAAAATCACCAATTTATAACAAATAAACTTAAACTATAAAATATAATGCTACTCACTTACAGTAAGCACAATATTCTTTGCTTCGTCAGCACTGGCATTATGTACGTTACATTTCAACTAAAACGGAAAAATATGACTAATTTATTGGGTAATTATATTATATTTTATAAAAACTATATTTTTTAATAATTAATTGTTGGGCTTCGTAAGTCCCAATGAATAATTGTGCATGGTGTTTATTTATATAACTGCTTAATTTTACTGAACTTAAAATTTCATTGAATTTTGATTTTATAAACTTTGATCTTTAGGTTACACATCGTGAGACCATTTTAACTATTATTTCTATATAGTATATTATATTAAACTTAATATTCTTAGTTAAATAGTGTTTAAAAGTCCCTTAATAATTATGAACATTGTGTACTTATACAATTATTTCATTTTAAAATTTCATTGAATTTTGTTTTTATAAACTTCGAGCTTTAGAATACAACATGTGGGACCGTTCTGATTATTTTGCTCATACTTGGTAGTCCTATTGCCTATTGCTTAACAGTCTCTTATAATATGTGTGTAAATTTCTATATAATATTCAATATTTTGATTTAACTGCCAAAGGATACTCCTAGAATTTGACATGCAATATTATGGTATTTTTACTGATATTAATTTTTATTTTCTATTAAATCTAAACAATAACGTTTTATTTTATTAAATTTCAAATGCTACTTTCAACATTTTATAATTTGAAAATTGGAAATTGCTTCTCAGCATAGTTAATAATATTTCAAAATGAATTATTTGCATGCAATAGTTAATTACTAGAATGATTTTTGACAAATAGTACAACGCGTTTATTTCTACCTAAGCGAAAAGAAAATAATTACAAAACTAAAACCTCCAGACAGGTAAATATGCTGTTTAGAAAACAATAGATGAATTCATTATAGTAATTCTGATTGTGCAATATATTAGGTACCTATAACACTTATTAAATAATTAAATAATATATATATTTTTTTAACTTTATTTAAAAACAAGCAATCTGTAATTTAAATTTACAATAAGCGTGTCTGTGGATACAAGTCATGTACATTAATTTGGCATGCAACGCGTGAAAAAAAAGCCACCCAATAGTAACGCTTTATAAAAGGAATTTGTTGAATTTATTATCAACAATTTTTTTTTTAAAATAATATTTAAATTCACTAAAAGTGGTTTTAAATAATACATTTTAAGTATATATTTTTTTAATTATCACAGAAATGTATTAATTACCTAATATAATATAAATATTGAGATTCAGTAATTCTCAATATTTGGTTTAGCATTTTTTTAACAAATGGAAGTTCCGCTTATAATTGTATTAGGTCCTTACTAGGTACCAGGTGGTCATATTTAAATACACATTTTGCAACATTAATACTGTAATTATGATCCTCATACTTTGAGTTTATAATTATATATTTAAATATGATTATAATAATTAATTTCATAATTTACAGTTTTCTATTTGATGGCACTGACATTTTCGTCAGTGTGTTTGGCGTCGAAGCATATTGTTTTATTTTCCGACGATGAAAACAATTTGCAAGTGGCAGATGGAAGTAATTACTAAATTATATTATAAATAACAATTAATAATAACAATATATTATTTCGTGTGATTAAATTAAAGTGGCTGATTACTAATTATTACATAAAATATATTTAATCATTTTAGAAATAAATGCTGAAAAGATCCTTCACCTTAACATCACTGAAGATTGTATTGATAAAAATCTGGGTGTATGTATACCAAAAACAAAAGGCCATGACAACTATTTGCGTTACTTTTCACGATCAGAGAAGCGAGAATGTCAGAACTACGAGCAAGTAGCTCAATCGAAAAATGATATCTTGCAATTTTGTATTGATATGGGAGACAGTTCTTGGTACGGTGGGGCCGAAACTACCTATCAGTATTGGCCATTGAATAATCTTAATTGGACGAATAATCCATACGTAACCAAATCATCGGGCGACCAAGCAGTAAGTTTTAATTTTTGAATACTTAAGTGAAGGAGTTTTGCTGCAGAATTCGACGATAATATTTTTCCGAACCACAAGATCCACTGATTATAATAATTATGTATTTTGTATTGTTTTAAACCAAATAGTATATTCAATATTGTAATATTTTTATTGCTCCTATTTAACACGTTTCATATTTTATAATTTAATTTTTGTTCGAAGTTGTTATTACATTATATTTATTACCACAAAAAAAGGTACCTGTAATTGTTTTTTTTCTGTTGTTTTAGGTCATCGAGTCTTATTTCTTCAACTCTGACGGATTTTCCATCCATATCGACGAGTCGGTTCCCCTTTTCGTAGATATAAACAGTCAGCAACTGGGTCAGATGTGTTTTACATCCAAAGTCACTGCTCCATATAAAAAAACAAGAAATGCGATGCTATACCAAATTTGCAGTTACCAAAACGCTCGAGTAGCACACGAAAGAGCTATTAAAGATTTCCTCGGCATGCCTTCGCAAATACCTGATCCATACGTTGTAAAGTATCCAATTTGGTCTACATGGGCGAGGTATAAAGTCAACGTCAACACGTCGTCTGTCCGAGAGTTTGCTCAAGAAATCGTCGATCACGGATTCCCTAGAGGTACAGTCGAAATCGATGACAACTGGGAGACTTGCTACGGCAGTGCAGAATTCAATACCTCAAGGTTCTCAAACATATCGGAGCTCGTCAAAGACTTGAGTATGTAGAAAACGGCTCGTTATAATAATATTATTAGTGCTCGGAAATTATAGTTCGAAAAGTCAAAATATGCATTCAGATAATCACAAAAATACTCCATGAAAACCAAGGTCATACAAATATAATATATGTACTTCTATTTTTTTTAAATATAAATTATTAAATATGATGCTTTAAAATATTGACTTGTCGCACAGTTCTGCAGTAAATTTCACTTTTACTATTTGTCGACGTATGTGAAATAAGGAATTTTATATTTTTGATTACGAAGTAGGTATACAATTTTTAAATAAATTAATCTGTTAATATTTTTAAGCATACTGCGATCGCTAACATAGTTCGGTTGTAATTTTGCTTATTAATTATCATTGAACTGTAATAAAAATTAACCACATAGGTCATATGGTATTTTTAAACTTGAGAAAATAATATATTTGTTAGACTATATTCTCTCGAAGAACATATCCATATTGTACTTACTCATCTGATGAATATCTCTGTACCTAACTGTGTCGCGTTATAATTATTTTATAGAATCAAAAGGTTTCAAGACATCTTTGTGGACACATCCATTCATAAATTTGGAATGTCCTACTCACGAGGTGGCAAAACAGAAGGGATACTTTGTGAAAAGTGCATCAGACACAGTGAATTCTACGTGGTGGAATGGCAATGGCTCTTACATAGACTTTACAAATCCCGAAGCAGCAACTTGGTGGTCTAATGCTCTTCGTGATTTACTCGCAAAAACTGGTATCGATACATTTAAGTTTGATGCAGGAGAAACCAGTTGGTATGTTTGTGTTAAAAATTTTCAAATGTAATTTTTAAGTAGTCAAGTGTGAAAACTGTAAAACTAAATATTATTTAAAAAGTACCATAGGCATTTTAGTTTGAGCTTTTTATTTTGACATACCTAATTATTTATTAAACACATGTATAATATAAACCTACCACATAGTATTATACTTGGTGGGTTTATTTAGCACGGTGGTCAGCTTCAGTCACAATAACATGGTCTGAACTCAAGCATCAGCCGGTGCCACTAGTTTTCGGATGGGTTACCACCAGTTTCTAGTGACAAATGCTTCCTACACGTATACACACGTGTACTAACTAACCTACCCTCCCCCACAGTAAAAAACCTACTAAAAATAACCACCCAATGACCTATGTTGCCACGGGTTAATTAATAATACTAATAAAAAGCATAATTTTTTCTTTTTTATACAGGAGCCCGCAACTCCCTGAATTTCACGATAACGATCTGACTTACTACCCTGATAACATCGTAAACGCGTATATTAAAACCCTTGTGTCTTTCGGTCATGGAATTGAGTACAGAGTATCCAGAAGAAGTCAAGAATTTGGTGGTCTTTTAAGAATGATCGACCGCGAGTCTCGCTGGGATTACAAACTCGGACTACCCACTTTGATAACAGCTCTGATACAATTGAATATGATCGGATATCCATTCGTATTGCCTGATATGATCGGTGGAAACGGTTACTACAATGCGCCGCCGTCCAAAGAGATGTACATTAGATGGATGCAAGCAAATGTATTCATGCCAGTCGTACAGTTTTCGTACACACCTTGGGATTTCGACCAACAGGTACCTAACTATGTTTGACTAGTTTATGTGTAGATGAAAACAGCCATCAATCAAATTTAATTGCTAAATTTGTTTAATAACTTCTTACATTTATAGACGGTCGATATATGCAGAAATTTAATGAATCTCCGAGCTAATTATACAGACACCATTATCGAGCTGATGAGAAGCAGTGTAGGTATTGGTAGTCCATTGAATCCTCCAGTCTGGTGGATCGACCCCACAGATCCAATTGCACAAACAATTGCTGACGGTAAGTTAATAGAATTAAGTTTTAAGTAACTATTTTCATATTGCAATTGAATTATTTATTTTTAATCGCGCACTTTATAGAATATCTCTTGGGTGAAAATATTCTCGTTGCTCCAGTGATTGTCCAAGGTGCTAAGTCCCGAGATGTCTATTTGCCTTCTGGGATGTGGAGAGATGAAAATCATCCCAATTCACATCTGATTATGGGTAGAAAGTGGTTACGCAATTATCCTGCCAAGCTTGATGTTCTTCCGTGGTTTACCAGAGTGAAGGCTTTTCACCATACGTCCCAATGAATTTAATGTAATGTGATTTCCGAATGAAATTTTATAAATTTTATTTATCTGTATGGAAAAATTAAATACAGTTATTTTTTTAAAATTGTTATTCTAATTATTTTAAAATCATCCAACCTTTCATACAAAGTTTTCATTTTTTGGTTCTTAGGAAAAAAACGAAAATTGCAGTTCATTAAAATAAAAAATGTTTGTTACTGTTGTTAATCAATATTTCCGCTATAGTGTATACGAGATTAAAATAAATTACAAATGAATTTGGTGAACGTGATTAATAGCTAGGAAAACTCTCAAAATATATAGGTTCCCAGTTTCAGATTCTAAAATGTTTATATTTTAAATAATAGTTTAAGTATTTTCAAAGGTTGCTGGTTAAAGTGCTGATTCTTTTCGATACGGTTCTAGCACCTAATTGTATCGTTTAATTTGTGATTTACAGAAATTGTAATAGGTTTACCGGCTCCTAGTGAATCCATTATTAGCTTAAGATACTTTTCATTGGTTCTGACCTATTGAGTTTCAAAAAATAAAATTTTTTAAGACTAGGCCCACTAATAGGTAAAAAAGATCGTGCATTCTTTCCAAAGTCCATTCATTGTTGTTTTTATATTAACCAATATCACATTCTGAGAAGTTAGCTAAATAATTAGTTATCGATACATCATGTTGTTGTCAAGCTTGAGTTCATGATCCATACATGAAAGTGGCTGCTTTAGTTCCGTGTAACGCAAGCACAGATAAGTGCAGGCTGGTCTCATGCATATTATCTAGGTACTCTTATTATTATGAGTATCAATCGGTTACTATTATAATGTATAAAATGTATTAACTTATTAAATAACCGATTCAGTGGAGTAATATTTACAGTGAACATGTGAACTGTTGGATTAAAAATCATGATACTTAATTGTTAATACGTTTTGTTATAAGTCATAACTAACATAATATAACTACAACAAAAACAATAATTTGTATTGTTTTTGCCTGATAATAGTAAAAAATACTAAATTGTTATTGACAAAGTTCGATGAAAATGAGAGATATAATTGTTTAACAGACAGATGAAAAATACAGGATGATTTACAATCCCGCAAAGACAACAATTATTTTTTTAGATTTATTCTTATTCTTATCTTCAGATAATTCTTTCATTAGTACTTAAGTCTTATGTATAGTTCTGAATGAGCGACAGATGGATTAGAAGTATTACACTCATAGTTTAATCAAACATGCCTAATTGCATCCGGCACTTACGTCTATATAGTTGAAGTATGTTCTGTCTACAATATTTGGCACGAGGACATTGTAAAATATATTATGTGGCATTTAGAAATTAATTTTAGGACCATTTTTATTTACTCCTTAAATCAAATTACCTTATCTCCTGCTCATTTAAAAAAGTTATTTTCTAACGTCGATTTCTTGCATCGAGTTAGGTATGATACACATTTATTTTTCATATATTCAGATGTCGGTGTACTATATATATACATGCATAATGTATAATGTATAATATACTAAATATATATAGACTCAACACAGGCATAATGAACAGCTTAAAAATGATCATAACTCACCCAAAAATAATAATATCAATAAAATCCTCCCGGGTGCCATGTAATATTTATGCCTGTAAATGTATAAGAGGTAAATAAACTCTAACTTTAGAAACTACAGAGTAAAAAGTAGTATTGTGAATGTAAAATATATCATGATGCGCGTTTGTAAAACGGAGAAAACAAATCATTATAATAAAATGTCGATTATTGTAAATACATTATATTTTAGTTTATAATTTGTAAATGATAATTTATTATTACGACTATTTAACAAGAATTGGAGCTAAATACTGTGAAATCTCCCCTAATGGACACCTCGTAACAGTGAAAGTTTTCTTGGGAACCAACTATAAACTTTGTATAATCTGAACTCGATGAACAGCTGACACCTCCGAATAATGGAGAAAATTTCGGGGACCTACAGTGCTTCAATCAAAAAATTCGTTCTGTGACTAATACTTATTTTATAATTTCGTTATAATATTTAACTTAAATTATTTTCTCGGTTTTATAATTAATTCTATATCGTCGATCGTTGGTAACTTTGATAGTTATCGTATAATGTAGATTAAACGGGATTTGCGTTTGATATGAATGTCATATATCTAATACTCCGTAAAATTGAAGTATCTACCTATCAAAAAAATATTCCACAGATGGTAATATTGTCATTTACTTATTGATGACAAACTGTTTGGTGGTACTAATTACAATACACTTAATAATTGCGAATATATGATAATAAAATATAAAAGGAATTGCTTGATGGTCGGATTAAAGATAAAGAAAAGGTGTAATTATGGGGTATATTCCTATTTTTAATTTAAAAAATACATATGTTTTTAGCTTAATGTCGTTAAGAAAAATTAAAATATATCTTACTGCTTGTGTAAGGTTACGTGCTATTTCTTTATACATTATCTTTAGCCAGGTATGCTGGATGCAGATATAATAAATTATATTTTCTACGACGTCGCTATATAGGTACCCAAAACGGTCTATTATAAAATTGAGAAACAGAATAAAATATTGAACTAATAAACATAACTGACATTAAAAAAATGAAGTTTTGTTCAATATAGTGCTATTAAACACGTCAATGTGGTTAAACAAGTCACTCGAAATGGTTTTTACATTAGGCAAGTACAATAAAATAATAGAAAAATATGCAAGCAAATATCGTTAACTCATAATAATAATAAAAAATGGGCATATAAAGTACAAGCGTTCGCTGTGTACACTGTCAAAATGTACTACAAAGTTCATGGCATTTACATATTGGTATAATATTGACAAATGATTATGAAGACGTTGAAATTTATGCGTGCCGAGTAAAATGTTGAATGATTGTATTAATTGTTGTTCTGAAAATTAAAATTAGTATGGGTATATAAAATAATACATTAGTATGTGTGTCCTTGTGGTATATTGATTCAACCGATTTGGTTCTAAAAAAAAAATGTTGATCAAGGCTTATACTGATAATATTAAATATTTTCTATGTAAAAATGTGCATTTGAATGAATACCAGTTGCTTGTTTAATTTCGGATGGAACTATGGTAAAAATACCAGCAAGTAAAGAAATAAAGAAGTAAACAAAAGTACGTGAGACGACAAGGAAATGCTATTTAAAGTTGCTAAATCAAAATTGTATTAAAATAAGATTTAAAAGTCTCTTGAACATTTCTAAATATTAACAATACGTTTCTCCGATTAAAATGAATCAAATGTCTAAAATATAACAGTTAGTTTTTATATTTATTTTAAAGTCATAAATTCTTAATTGCCACATAATATTGTCTGTGTTTACAATTTATAATGAAATATAAAACTGAAATATTGAACAATTAATTCTTAGTTTGTATAGCGCTTAAAGACTTGTAGATTAAAAAATAAATAAATAAGGTAAGTGTGACATATAATATTATATTCTATGTTTATCTAATAATTGTTAGAAATTTCAAAAAAATATTGCCAACAGTTTGAATTACGAAGAATAAAAAGTTATCTATGAATAAATTATTTGTACACTAATGATGAGGTACGATTTGATACTTTATTTAGTGTAATTTCAATATATAACTATCAATTAATAGTATCATTATTTTCATTATATTATTCTGTTTTTGGTTGAAATATTTAACGATGCATTCATTGCACAATTAATTTTAAATAATACGAGACTGTAATTGTGTTAAATAACAATGAAACGCAACATAATAATATGATTTGTAATGTAAATATGAATCAATAATAAGTTATGGAATCAAAACACTTCAACATGGTATTTAGTATAAGCAATTAGGTAATATTATATTATGGTGGATGGAATAAATCGTATAATCGTATAATTCAATGCATACATATTACATCATTATGATTAGCATATTATCATACATATAATAAAGATTATAGGATTTACATTTTAGAAATCATAATCTCTAGAAGAGCCTTACCAGAGCCGCGTTCTCTCTCTCACTTTTACACTTTAACTACCTATCCTATATTATCATTGTTATTAAATTAATAATAAATCAAATTATACTCATACAAGTACGAGATACGATCATACGATCATAATACTAGGTTTTTTTTCTTAAAATATATATTATGTAAATGTATTATTTTTTTATTTATTTAATATCTAGGCGTTTAGTTTAATTTAAATAATATAAACAGTTTAAATATAACAGTGGGCTGATCACGTCGGACGTCAGAGAGTCCTGAAGAAAAAAGTCCTCTTAGATTTCGTCGTTTAAGATGGGTAGACATGGCGAGGAAAGTGTATAATAGAAGTAGAGACTGGAATGCGAGAGTATTTGTCATAGATAATTGGAAGATTGGTTGGGTGACGGGATGATCCCAGTGGCCCAGTAACTTCCGAGAAGAAGAAAGAATACAACAGTTTGAATATTATATTCTTAACCACGAAATGTGAAGTTTTCTTATATTTATGCATTCACATTATCAATACAACCCGTTATTTATTTTAATGCAATAATCTATACATTATAATTATAAATTAAGAAGATGTCACACCCACGTGTGTTGTCCCCGTCTTACAAAATATGTACAACATAGCAAAAACAGTTTTCCGCGTGACAACTTTTCTCGCACCATATCTGTTGTAGAACTATCAAATTTTCACAACACGTGAAGAAGAATTCTATCTGTGCAACATCTTGCCTTTTTTTTTAATTACACTATCCAATCATTTTTTTATAAGCAAATAAAAAAATTAATTAAAATGTTTAGAAGCAAATAACTTGTATTGTGTTTATGTTATCTAAAATAGAGGCACGCTGTTGCATGGATAATTTTTTACTCTATATCTTCAGGAATTTTGAAGCTACTACTACAAACACAGAAAGTTAAAAGTTGTCGCTCGCAAAACAGTTTTTGCTATGTTGTACATTTGTAAGACGGAGACAACACACGCGGGTGTGACGTCCTCTTAATGTATTCCTGTCTGTCTGTATGTATGTTATGTTTGCCTAAATGGCTGGACCGATTTTGATGACACTTTCTGTGTGTGTGTGAGTGGTTAACTAGATGATTTAAATTTATAACTGAGCACTTAGTAGGTCCAACCTGGAGTTCTACAAACGGAATTTTTGTTTATACATTTTTGCTATTGGTTATAGGAGAAATAATCAGCTGAAATTAGTATATTTTTTGTATATTGGTGGCCATTGGTTAATCGAATCATGTACTAAATCAAATGTTCGCACATTGAGTATCGAGGTGGCTGAGTTGCGCTTATAGCAGGTCACCGATGTGTATTCAATCAAGTTAAAAAAATAAAACATATTATTCATTACATAATATACTGCTCCCAAGATCACAAGCGAGTTTCATGTAAAGTTATTGTTTTTAACTGGCAAATAAGTGCACGGGATCAGCTAGTGTGATAATAAATCAAAATCTTAACCAATAAGCCAGTCATAATAAGGCACAGGAAGTTCGATACAGAGATGGATCATGGGTGGAAGAATTATTTAATAAAGGATTCATGAATCAGCAAGCATAGAGGATTCAGAAAAGAGAACAGAAATCGATTGAATAAACTGGTGGAAATTGCGCAAACGCTTACGAATCGGGTAAAGGAAAAAAATAAAAAAATATCAAGATTTTTAATCGATTGACAATAATTATTCGAAATCCAGATGTTGGAGCTTAGTAATTATTATAATAATTGAGGGTTATTACAACCAATAACTATCAGTTGAAATACACGGAATAGTTCGTTTATCAGTAGGAGCTTACTCACTTTCTCAATCGGGTCTTATGATTTTCAAAAGTATGAAAGTTAAAGGATGTTGAATAGTATTTCTAACCGATAATACGTATATTCAAATTGATATTGAGTTACAAAATATTTGTATAGTGACGTATTAATAGCAAATATTATATTATTTATTATTATTTATTGTTATTAATAGACAGTCGAGAACAGATAAGTGAAGTGGTGATAGGTACCCGTACTGCAACTTCTGTTACGCGAACTGCACATTTTTAAATTCTTATTGACAAGAAAGAGAAGTTCTATGATATTTGGTAATTTTTAATAACATATCTTCGGAACTAAAATTAATTGACTAGTTTTTGAAAACCAAAAATTTTTCAAAACGGAATATACTTACTACGAGTGAAACTACAATCGAATAATATCTGTGCCTAGTAACCGTCGAAAATGCTTCGTGCCGATGTTATTTTGTTCATCTGTCAACAGAGAAATAACCAAGTGGATCAAATTCAGGTCAAGAAAATAATAGCAAATAGATAAGTCCAGTACTCTCCAGTATATGTCCAATTTGTATCCATATGTATCGAAAAAAAACCTTAAAAAAATCGAAAACGTCAAGCATCTATAAATAATCAAAATATTATACTATATATCTATAAAAGATGCTTTTATAAATATTTGGTGAAATTCTAAAGTGCCTATCTTTATTCGTTTTATAATTTCAACAAAATAAGGAAATCATTTGATGAGAAAACGTTATTTTGGGCATAAATATCGAACTTAGTCAAATTTTTAACATCAGACTCTCATAAAAAATATTCTGGAATTCCACTCTTATTTTTTAATTCCTGTTTTGTCAACTGAATATGATTAACATAAGAGACAAACAATTATTGTCACCAGCAGTGAAAATAATTGCAAAATAGAGTCCGTCATTCAACCAAGTAATCAACTCGATTATTTTGTCATTTATTAGGTTTTTGACTATATACTAATATTTTACTAAAATGTGTTATTTTCACTTTTAAATTTTTTGTCCGGGACGGTCAGCCATCCCGAAATATTTAATTAAGACAATGGGAGGTCTTACATCTATAATGTATTGTTCAAACCCTTACAGTCCCTGCAAAACCAGGACAAATTACTATTGGCAACCTTAACCTAGTGGCCAGATTCCCATTTATTTTTTATTTTTTTCACTAGTTACCGTGGTTGCCGACATGCAGTCATTCATTTTACCTCGAGACGAGATTATTTTAGGTGTGGTTATATTATAATATTGACTACTACTTTATGTCCAGACGTCCCAGTTCTTAAAATTTGTGGCCCTAAGCCTATTTCGAGATTTTGTGTGTTTCAGAATTATATTTTTGAAGTGAAACTTCTTTAGGCACTGCATCGTAAATCGGATTCATGGGCTTAGCCGTTAAGACCAAAAATCTTACTCTCTATACTTACCTGTCTAATAATGTTTCAATGGCAATAAATAATAATCCGTTTGTCTTATTTATATATTAATAAAAAATTTGTTTCAAATTTCTCTAATACAAACTCAATATTAATTGACCATGATGGGCGATAATCTTTCTTTTTATGTCATGATGTGTAAAGAAGTTTCATTTTATCCTCGCGTACTTTTGCAACGCTCAATTTTTTAAATTATAAATTAGTTTTAAGTAATTTGATTATTTATGTTACCTTAATACTCTGCGGTATCTCCTGTTTCGTCGTTTTCGATTAGTTTGGAAAAAAAAATGTTTATTATAATATGTTATCTAAATAATTGGTGGTTCCCAGTGAATAATAAGAATTTCAAAATTATAATTAATTAAGAACATTAAAAATATATATTTATAAAACTACAATACCTATTTGATTAGCATTAAATTGTTTTATTCGTTGGTAAATATCAGAAACCATACAATAAATGGATACTGGATGTAAACTGGTAAACGCGATGGAAATCATTTACAGGAACAATATAATTAAAATGAAGCAATAAAAGTCAGTAATCCAACTGAATAAAGATAATAATATTATGATAAATAAAATAAATAGAAAATTAAATGACGTTCATAAAACCGTCGAAAGTCGTCATCAATGTATGATTACTAAAGAGCCGCACTTGACACTCCAATTATACTGAATAAATCTATGATAATATGGCAAACAAGCAAATTACTGAAAATGTTTAAATTATTGAAAGAATAATAAATCGAAAATTAAGCTAATCAATGTTAGCAATATACAAGACATAGCTAAGTAACATAATGAACTGTCATGAAATGAAATAAGTTTTTTGTATTTTTTAATACAGCAAATTTTAAATTGTATTAAACATTTTTTGAAAAAATAAAAAATAACCAATTTTTAGAAAAAAATTAATTATAAAAACCTTTATTTAAGTTAAATGGGTTTTTTTTACAATTGTTAAATATATTTTTTTTTCTGATTCATTTAAAACGTAATATATTTTTTGAATATTATTTTTGGAATTTTCAGACATAAGTTACTCTGAAATTATTTATAAATTATATATTTTTCATACGTTTACGACAGGTTTTTTCATGACATCCTGTATATTGTGTTTTGATATTTTTCATTGATTTGAAATAAAATATTACCTTTAATTTTATGTAAGAAATGAAAAGAGTGAATAATTTTGTGAGCGATTATTTATTTAAATAAAGCCTAAGTGTTATTACATTTTTTAGAAAATTGATATTAAATTGTTTAAAGAATCAAATATTAATAATTCTGAGTTGTATAATAGTAAAAAAATCAAAACCCCATCAGGGTATAGGTAATATACTAATATAATATCAACCCCACCCTTATCGTGGCCAATGCCGTAATATTGCTCAATAAAGATGTGTAACATTTCTTAAAATAAAATTTAATATGAAGTACCGTTGAATATAAGTAAAAAGTAGCTATTAACTGATTAATGCTTTTACGTCAAACATAACACAACCTATTTACTATAAAAGAATAAAAAAAGGAACATTATGGGAACAGGTAATTCATAAAAAAATAGATCTAAAATCTTGATCAGCTATTATCTAACACAATATACCTATTAAAAAATTGCAAAAAACCCGACTTGTAATCGATTATGTATTAAAAAAAAAAATTGTTTTTTCCTGACAATCGTACACATTAAATTATGTACTGTCCAAATAAAGATTATAGTTTACTTATGCAAACAAAACACTTCAATTTCATTTGTTCTAGTCATTATCATGATACATTGCGATATAGCATTCACCTCAAAACTCATCGGTCTTATCGGATTCGAGTCATATTTATACTACAACGATGATATCCAAAAAGCTATAGCCATTGATATGCCGACTCTCATCACGCATGTATCGTCAGAATTTTAACGGAAAAATTAAAATGGCTAACATCTTAGGTAATTATGCGATGTACAAAATTAATAGTTACAAACTTAGATTCATTAAGATGTAATTTTATATTACCTATACTTATATTGTTTATGTATTTCTTTATTTTTATTAAATATCAAAGATCGAATATAATTATGAAAAATTCAATAGTTTTCAAAGTAAAATTTTTAGCTAGTGTTTACATTTTTAATCGTTATTTTTTTTTTAACTAAAAATATATTTTATAAAATATTATTATGTAAATTATATTTAAATAATTTACTTTCATGTTTATACTAAGAATGTAAAGTAAAATATAACATGATAAAACGTATAAGTAAGCAAGTCTACAGAGTAAAACATAATATTCATAAAATCTTATTTGGTGATAAATTTGTTATTTTGTACACTATACTTTGTTTATAACAAGTATTTTTACATATATATTTTGATTAAATTAAAAATAATAATAAGATAATTAATATAATATTGTAGTAGAACTTAGCTAACCTAACCATATTAATATATTATGTTACGGTATTATAATTAGTGTATAAAATTAATTTTTTTCCTAAAATAACTGTCACTGAATTTAAAATTAAGCAATATTATTGTCATATTAAATTATCTATGATACGTTAAGGAGGGGGGCGTCGAAACGGGTACGTTTTTAGTACAAAAACATGTTTTACAAAAAAAACTCTTTTAACCTGTAATCTGTAGAATATTTGGAGTTTATTAATTTGTTTTTTTATTTAAAAGGAGAAAACATTTTTCAGGTTGGATCAGAACCCGACTTTTAAAATTATAATTATAGAACTTAGAATATGCATTTGAATAATGTATGATATTTGTTATTTTTCAAATGTAGTTTTCAAACATTAATCAGGTTAAAATTAAAATTCAGGCTTTGATCTGATCTAAAGATAGTTCTCAGCTTTCAAATAAATAAAAAAAAACTATTAAAATTAGACATATTATCAATGAGGCGTGAGAGTTTTTCGTGCGGAGTCATTTTTGTTGATATGATACATAGATTATTAACTTACTCAACGGACGGTAGATTAGTGGACAAGTGTTATTGAAGTAGGAACTAAAATATAAAGTATAATTTTGTACAGTTGTGGAAAATCCAGCACCGACAACATTAAATAGGATATATTTAAAAATAATATGACATTAGTCATATTTACTAAACATGAGTGTTTTTTTCTAGCATTATGTGTTATTGCATTGACGTTAACATCGGCGTCTTTGGCATCAGACTTCATCGTTTTATACTCTGAAGATGAAAAGCAACTAGAAGCGGAATATGGAAGTAATTTCGTTTGTTACATTATTATGCTTTTAAATTCTGAACATTTACTTTTTCAAAAATATTGTTGAAATTTTTTAAAACATCGCACATTTTTAGTGAAACGAGTAAAACATGTTTTATCGTTAAATTTGTAATAATAATTCACAGCAAAGACATCATCGAAGAATCTGAAGCTAAGCTTCTATGAAGATTGCATCGATAAAGAACCAAATGTTTGCACCCTAAAAACAGTTAACAATGCAGACTACTTACGTTATTTTACGGAATCAGAAAAACCGGAGTGTAAGCATTTCGAACAAATCAGTGAGTCGATGAATGATGTATTGCAATTTTGCGTCGAGTTCGATAACAGTTCTTGGTTCGGTGGCGCCGAAGTAGGCTTACAGGAATGGCCTCTGAATAAACTAAACTGGACAGACAGAGAATACGTGACAAAAGAATCACACAGCCAAGCAGTGAGTATAGATTGTCATAATTTATAAGCTATGAAGTTGAAAATATTATTCAATTCATTTTTGTCACTCAAGTTTTGTAATCAATATTTTCCGCTGTATTTGGAATTACGCTTTTCTACTACGTACACACTTTAACGCTTTAAGGTTTTAAGAAGCCAACATTTTAACCTGACGTTTAACGTCGAGTTTGATTTATTTGTAAAATGTCGTTCGTATGATTTAAGAAACATGGCTTTATTAATTTACATCACGAAAATCGCATTTTTTCAGTGTCGACGAATCTTTGACATATAAAATAAAAGCTCAGGAGATATGACGTATTCATTTTTCTTATCGTTATAATTTATTTTGAATTAATATAATTTTTTTTAGGTGGTCGAGTCATATTTCTTCAACTCAGACGGTTTTTACATACACATTAACGATTCAGTGGCCTTGTTCGTAGACATCAATGGCCCCAGACCGGGAAAAATGTGTTTCGCCGCTAAGGTCGTTGCCCCTTATAGAAAAAATAGGAATTTCATGCAATTCCGAGTTTGCAAATTTAGCGATCCCCGAAAAGCCCACGAAAACGCCATTAAAGATTTCCTCGGTTCACCCACTTCCATACCCGATCCTTACGTAGTGAAATACCCGATTTGGTCAACTTGGGCTAGGTACAAGTATGATGTCAACACATCTTCCGTTTTGGGTTACGCAAAAGAAATTGTCAAAAACGGATTCGACAGAGGCACGTTCGAGATCGACGACAAGTGGGAAACTTGCTACGGCAGTGCAAAGTTCAATGAAAGTCGATTCTTCAATATTAATGAGACAGTAAAGGAATTGAGTAAGTACAATATTGTTGATAAAGTATTATAGATGTCATGTAAATTTATGATTTTTGACACTGTCCATAGGCGCGAATTGGCTTCATTTTTTTTTTGGGGGGGGGGGGGGACTCAAGCCTCCAACCAATAGGCTATAATATAAGTAAAACGAATGTTGGAGAAAAACTCTCTACATAAAATCCCCCACCCAATCGGCATTCAGCATTTATCATTAAAGATGTAAAAATACAAAGTATTACATTTTTAGAATATATTTATTTTAACAAAATTCTCCGTTCTTTTTCGGCAAATACATTTAAAATGATTTTTGTATTTAAATCATCAGATAAATCCCCCTCAATATGTGTCATAGATATAGTTGAGAACCTAGTTTGATCCATAAGTTGACCTAAAAAACTATCATAACAACAATTTTTTTCAATAATTGTATTTTGTAATTTGGTTGTTTTTAAAAAATAAACATGCTTAGTACCAAGTAATATAAAAATTAGTACTAATTACTAGATTTTGAACTGTAAGAACTTGACCGAAATTTTTAGGGACTAAGACCCCCCCCCCCCTATTTGAACCAATGACATCGTCAAGTTTAATAATAAAAAACCTTCCTAGTGTTTTATAATAATATTACCAGGTAGTTGTAACTTGCAGTAAATAATTGTAAATATATTAGGCACCAGGAAGTAGGAAGTAGGTGGGTATTATAAAAATATTCTGAGTACAATGATTTTAAGCGTATGGGAATCGATTTTATTTTGAGTCTAATAAAATATTATAATTTTGATTAGGTGTGTGTATTATGATGAGAACGTAAATACAATACTGTCACATTTTTCTTCGGTGCTCAATTGTTTGATTTATTGTGTATGACTAATCTAGAATGTTATTAATCGTTTGTTTGGTAATTGTAAAACTCATAAATCAGTATATTATACGAAATAATACTTAATAATGGCCGCTATAGTAGATTTTAATTTCTACACTTGGACAATTATGGAAAGCTTATCTATAAAAGATTAACCGACTTTTGGTAATATTAGTGTAAACCTTGGGGATTAGTCGAAACAAATATTATATTATTGAATTTTCAAACGATTAGGTACTAATGATACTCGTAGACTGTTTTAAACATACTGCTTACTGATCATTTGCAATAGAAGTTACATAATCATTTTAGAAATTTCACTATGCATGCAATTGGGGAGTGCTATATATTATATCGTCCTTATTTAAGTGTACCTACCGGTAATTTTTGGTTTTTAAATTTAAATATTTATTTGAACTACTGTTTAGTCTGAAGCACGATGTTTTTCTAAAAATGTTGATATGTTGAAATCAAATTATGTATAAAAATGTAATACGTTATATCGGATATAAACGAACTTTCTGCTATCAAAACGCTTATAGCAAAACAAATGAGTTCTATATATTTTATTAGTTAAACTTTCAAATATCAAAAGTTTGTGAGACTAATCTAGGTGTGAAAAGATTTTACTGAAGTCTGTGCATTAATGTCTTCAGATTTTATTTTACTATTAATTATCTATCCTTCCATAGGCTGATGATCTTCATGAATAATAATATTCTGATGGATGTTATTTTATCATTTTTTTTGTTAAATTTTAATATTAAAATTTATTGTAATAATAGGATCATATGGTTTCAAGACGTCCTTGTGGACACATCCATTCATTAATAACGAATGTCCTATTCACGAGGTGGCTAAGAATATGGGGTACTTTGTAAATAGTACAACAGGCACAGTGAACTCTACTTGGTGGAATGGAAATGCCTCTTATATAGACTTCACAAATCCCGAAGCAGCGGCATGGTGGTCAAATGGTCTACGCAGTTTACTCGCAACATCTGGCATTGATACACTTAAGTTTGATGCAGGAGAAGCCAGTTGGTACGTATTAATCGTACAATTTGAAGTACAAAAGAGTGAAAACTTCAAGTGAAAATAATTTATTAATTTATATTCCATAGTATTTATATTTTATTAACTGAAAAGCCTGTTGTAGTAATGTGGTTAGAATAGGTTCATGGTATAAATAGCCTAAAATAATAATCGTTAATATTTTCAAAATTTAAATATGTGTACAAAATAATCATATAAGTACGTATGACGATGGAATCAGGTATTGGACATTTCAGAGACTTCATCGAGACTTAAATAAATTCTTATGATATTCAAGCATTAAATTAGCTGCGAAATGATGCCTTTGTTTAGATACACTCGTATTATATTATAATTTATTTAAAACATAAAACTAACAGAAAATGTACAATAATGTCTACATAAAATTCACGTTGAAATATTTACATGTTTCTTTAAACGGGGAAAAAACATCTACAAAAATGTTTTTTGCTTTTTAATTATTCTTAAGTCACCAATTGTACGTGGTTAAGCGTGGTCTATATGGAGTTACATAATTTACATAAGAAATACGTTATATTTACATTACATTCAATTAAATTAATATTAATATTTGTACATTGTTTTCTTTGTTAGTATATTGAGTTAGATAAACAAACTTAGCTTCGTCGATAAAAGTCATTAGTTTTCTGGATGACTCGGGAGTGGGTGAAACTATTTTATAAGGGTGCCCGGTAGTTTCTGTTTGATGAGTGTTTCTTTCAAATTTATTTAATATTCTGGTTTTATAAAAATATATAACTTATATATATATATATATATATATACAATTCAGTGTAATGGTGAATACATAGTTAAAATGTTCAACATTTCCAATTTAACGTCGTATACAACGAAACATTGATTGTTATAGCTACATGCAATATTACACCAAATAAAGAGTATTATTGTTTTCTCTTTTCACAGGGGCCCTGTACTTCCGGTATTTTACGATGACGATTTGACATACTACCCCGATAACATTGTAAATGCATACCTCTCAACCATCAAATCTTTTGGCGCCGGCATTGAGTACAGGGCGTCCAGAAGGAGTCAATCATTTGGTTGTTTGTTGAGAATGATTGACCGCGAGTCCCGGTGGACTTACGAATTGGGATTACCAACACTAGTCACATCTCTGATACATCTGAACATGGTTGGGTATCCGTTTGTGTTACCGGACATGATCGGTGGAAACGGTTATAACAACTTGCCGCCTTCCAAAGAGATGTACATCCGGTGGATGCAAGCCGCTGTGTTCATGCCAGTCATACAGTTTTCGTACACTCCTTGGGACTTCGACTCACAGGTACCCGTGACCACGACTGTATTTTGACGTGTTTACTTGAATATCACGCACCAATAATAAATAAAACACTATAAACCGTTGTGTATCAGCTAACACCGGTCACTCATAATGTATAACGTTCTAGACATTGGAATTGTGCAGACATTTCATGGCACTCCGCAACAACTATACCGACACAATTGTGGATTTAATGAAACAAACTGTTGCACACGGAACCCCAGTGAATCCTCCGGTCTGGTGGATCGATCCCACAAGCACAGATGCACATGCAATCGATAACCGTAAGGAAATTCACTTGATTACTGTTGATTATTGTATGTTATCGTAATAATTAATAATATAAATTCGAAATTATTATCAACGTATCAGAAATAATTACGAATAGTATCGCTTATAAAGACGGCGGGAAACTTGACTTATCGATCGTTATTGGTAATTTAGGTACATTATCGTTACATTATATTAATGTTCACTATGTTTTCTAATTTATGTTCATAAGAATCACATAATTGAACAATTTATTAATATTAAATATTTGAATTTAACTTTTTACATCGATTACAGCCAGAAATGTCTTGTAAATTAATTTTTTTTTCTATTGGGGAAACATTTTCAATCGTTTTTTAAATTCTACTTAAACAAAATACATCGTTATCGATAGAAACAATAGACCATAAGACGACCTTATGTCCCGCTTAACACATTATGTTGTCTCCGTCTTACAAACTCGCATCAAAGTAAATTTATGTTCAACAGAACCAATTTTATTTTGTTAGTTTAATATTACATATTACATCCACCTATAATTATAAAATATAATGGTAAGAATAACATCTGTGTTATATTGTTGATTTTATTTACATTTAATTCTAAAACTAATTGTTAGAATTTTTAAATCGTATGCAATAATATACTCTTTATAAAAATATAATATCAATATCAAGTCCTCTTTAGGTTAGCAAAGAACTGCCAGGAAAAATCTATTAGGGTCCATGGAAAAATATGAACAAACGTGGTTTTAAGTTTTAATTTATTAAACTCCACTAAATCGTTTTTCTCGTGCAATAATTATGAACATTGATTTTGAGCTCATATTTTAATATACGTGCCATTATCACGTGATGCATGTAGTATCTATATACTCTTTTGTAGTTTTGTTAGCTTTAATTAAAAATTATATTTTTAAATTCCGATTCTATTTGTTTTGTTTTAATTAAAAATATCATTCAATATTTTTTCAATATTTTTTTTAATTGATCTAAAGAGCGAAAACTATGGCCATTAGCTGTTTGTAGGGGGAAACGGTTAATTTGAAACAAGTATTTGTATGTGTGGCAAGTATGTGTTTCTAAAAACCCGGGTGGTCACCCATCCGAGGACCAGCAACGACGGCCGGTACGTAAGCTGAGAGCTTTGACTAAATATCGAGCGCACGACCGCGCCTCACCGAGCCACAAATCAATATTTTATTTTTCTGCAAAATAGTGATTTGTTCAAAATTAATTGTTTATTTGTATGTGTTTGTTTTGATTATAGAATTTCTGTTGGGTGAAAATATCCTGGTGGCTCCAGTGCTCGTCGAAGGTGCAACTACCCGTAATATTTACTTACCCAAGGGTATGTGGAGGGACGAGAACCATCCCCAAAGTCCACTATTGTCCGGAAGAATATGGCTGATCGATTACCCTGCCAGCCTCGAAGTCCTTCCGTGGTTTACTAGAGTTAGTACCGAGAATCAACCAGAACCATCCAGTTCGGTTTGCCATATGTCGTCTGCAACTTATATTTTCGCCTTAGGTTTAATTGCGTATTTATTCCGATAAAATTCATGATATGTTGTTGAATTTATAGATACCTAAATAACTTAGTGTAATATAATATTATAATTTTGATATATTTGATTGTACAGCCAGTGATCTAATAATGTAGTTGGAATTCGATTTAATTTATTCAACTGACGTGATATTAATTATAATTATTACTTATGATATTTCACTAAGAGTTTTATAATTTATAATTATTTGAACAAACGTACGGACTTGTGTGTTTTAATGAAAAAATAAGGGTAGCCAGAATGAAATGTCTAAGAAGTTCTTAGGTTGGATGCTACTTAAGAAGCTTATTGAATGAGAGTTAACTAAAATGTTAAAATAGTTTGATTGATTATATTTTAATAAATGGACTTGTAATTTATAAATTTAAGTTTTCTGGATCGTTTATATTACATTCGACTGCGCATAATATAAACGTCTTCTCTCATGACCATTATAGTTTATTCTACCTTTATAATTATCTACAAACCACAATGAGCATAATTAATTATGAAAAAAGTCTTAATAGAATACTCCTAAAAATAATACAGAACAATTTTAAAGGTGGAATAAGGGAAATTCAAGTTTACTCTGAGGGGTAGGAAGTCCTTGGCATTGGGCCTCTTTGGTTCAGTGATGGATGATGACTACGGAGCACACACAAAGTATCTGAAAAAATCCTTGAAATAAATAATAAAAATAAATAATAAATCATAATTAACAACAGATATGCCCAGGATGCCCGTCAGGTGACTGCTGAAACAGTTTAACTGATAAGTTAAGGAACACCACAAAGGTTAGGTCGGCCAAAAGTTTGTTAACCTAACCAAACACAAAGTTGAAGGCCACTAAACTCAAAAAAGTTGCCGGGGAGCTTACGTTTGAGAAGACTGACCACAGTGCAGAACTCAGTAAATCGATACCGTAATGAACATAGCGTGGTGACCCGAATACAACCGATGTCCAGAGTCGCAGGTTTATAATATACTCCTACATTATTTTTCTCGTCCTATTATTACAAACTTTCTAGGATCCACAATTCATTCATGAGAAATGTATCCTTTATTTCATCCTAATATCCCAAAATCGGAGTTATAAAAAATATGGTGTCGTGACAACATAATTTGTGTATAATTATACATATTATTATAATATTATATTGATATTATAACGAGTACCTTTTCGACATCAGAAATGGCAGCAGTGGATTATTCTAAGAAGTTGATTGCTTTAAAAAAAAAAAAAAAACAGTTATTTATCACTAACCTAACCGGAACAAGATTAAAACATTATGTATTTTATGACATTCGTAACCATTAAAAAAAAATAGTCCTTATCTATTTACAATCATTAACGAGATGCACTTGGCACACTTCCTAAAACTTACTATAATTTATATTAGTGAATATTTTTTAATATTGTCAAATATGAAGAGGGTATTGATTAATAATATTATAAAGTAGCTATTGCCTGACTGATGTCCGTGTTGCATGTGTAATAAGCAAATACAATTGTAACTTTAAATTTTAATTCAATTTCAATTTATTATTCAGTTGATAATACATTTCGCATTAAAAATGTCTCAAAGCTTAAATTCATAAAACATAGTTACACACAAGAATACATTTTACTGAACTGATGATGTTCGATCGAAATCGACTGTTAGTAAAAAAAACTTCCATTAATCGTTATTCGTTGATGGTGCTCAATAAATAGGTGGGCTACTGGTTATATAAATAAAGATAAATTAATGTATACATAACCTTAAATTGATGAGTGTATGACGCTCAATATCATTATCTGATCGGTCTCATGTTCAAATTATAATATTATACTCTAATATCCAATAACATTGATCCAACGACTCTATCCATGAACGTATGCATCGTTGCACATTGAGCAGAGAAATGGCTAAAATCTTAGGTAAATATCCATTTTACAAAATTAATATTTATGAATGTATAATAACTAATTGATTTTATATTGAAGTGAAGCATATTCGAAATTATATTAAATTACTATCAATTTTTCACTCAGACCCCCATCATAAATAAATTATTGTTAGACATTTAAAAAAATATAATTTAATCATGTTACCTATGATTTAGTTATACAGCCTCAGGAATAAATATATTGCATAAAAAACTTACTTTGCGATTTTTTTTTACAACAAACCTTATGTCATAATTATTTTGGCATAAATAATAAACTAAAAACTAAAAACAAAAAATCATTTTTTTTTTCTTTTCAAAATAACAAAATATAACCATTGATAATAGTATTTAAGACATCGCGACTGCGTGGTTATTAGCCAAAAATTGCATTTCATATATAAATAAATATTTTTTTTTTTACGTTGAGTTAAATATTTATACGTATTTATTTGCATATTATGTTTTAATTTGGCTCATGTTTATATCAATTTGGAGTTCATATTAATTTTTGAAATAAATTTGTTTTCTGAATACCTCAAATAATTCTTATTGCACTTAACCCATTTAATTTTTGTAATATATTAGAGTAAAAAGACATGAGTTCAAAATTCCAAATTTGAATTTTAGTCTATCACCTATATTATAACGTTGTAATAAAATGTATTTTAAAAGTATATTATTACATAGTAAATTAAGTTGTATTCCATGTTTAGGATTTTGTGTCATTTTATTGACGTTATCACCGGTGTCATTGGCTGCAGACAACTTCGTTTTATTTTCAGAAGACGAGAAACAATTACAAGTGGATTATGTAAGTAATATGAAGTTTACTTACAAATACTTAATATTTACAATATTTTTATTCTGAGCTTTGTATTGGTAACTATATAACTATGGTGCTTCTCATCGTGTGGATATATTTTTGGATTAGATACAATTTATATTGTTCGTAGTCATGAGGGATTTTACGTTTTAACATTCAAAAAATATAATTTTGAGTTACTCTACCTAGGTTGTGACTAGCAACCAATGCATAATATAAGTAGTAATTAATTGTTAATTATTAATTACGTTACTAGACCAATTTCAAGTAACAGTACCTAGGTTTATTGCAGCAACCGATGAAAAATATTATAACGTTACCGTAGGCGAAAAAAAAACAGATTCAATAAAGAACATAATATTATTATCAGGGCTCGGGACTTTATCCATTTGCATATTTGTTCAGGAAGCAAATAGAATAAATCTGGTCCGGTGCAAATATGTATTGTGGTGTTTGGAGTTAAAGTTTAAAAGCTTATTGTGCATATGATTGCATATTTTGGAATTTTTTTCTACAAATGCATATTTTTAAGATTTATTGATTTTTATTGCATATTTTAAAATAATTTTTGATTATTTACCCTTACATCAATTTTTTTAGTAAATTCATTTTATCTACATGATTTTGTCGGCAATAATACAGATAAGGCGATAAACAATAGCGTTACGGGGGACCCATTTTATTTTTAGCTCCGAGGAAAATATAATTTTTATTTAATCTGTCTTTTACAGTATTATTTTGTTTGCCAGTACATAGTGATCGACGGACTACGATCGTTATCGTTTGGATGTATCGTCAATCGTTGTTGTGATCGTATTTGTATTAGTTATTTTTTGTATTTATTAGTGCTCGTATTTGTGTTATAATATGCCAAAAGAAAAAAAAAACTCAAATTGGTCGGTTGAGAAGTTTCATTTTAGAATCTGGGAATAATTTATTTTCCGCAGACGGAAGAATTCTATTTTGCAAAATATGTGAAATTAAAGTAGAATATGTGTTTCGGTTAGGTGTGGACTGTATTTAAAATGATATGAGAAACAATATACGCACTTTTAGCTAGTTAATGTCTTACCTTTATTGTAAGTTTGAGTCGCTTGCATTAGCGACGCGTACGTTATGACACAAGTATCGCGACTGACGGCCGGTGACAGATAAGATTATCGTTGCAACATATAACGTAATCACACGATATAAAATATGACAATTCATATTAGCGATCAAAATTATTAAAGCCTTAACAATATGAACGAATAATACAACATATACAAATAGTAAAACATATGAAAATTATTAAGCGGAGGGAAATGTTCAATACAAGAACCCAGCAAATGATTACACAAACTAATACAACTAAAATATAATTATAAAATGATTACTTTTTATTACATAGAAATGTAGAAATTTTAATTGCTAGGTAAAGAAGATGCTGAGTGTTAAAAAATCCAATTTTTTTTTAGTATCTATAAGTATGTATAAAATATACATTTTTAGTAATATGTACAAGATATGTTTTTTAACGTATTTTTTAATTAAAAATAAATGCATATTTAAGCTCATATTTTGACATTTGGTTCATATGTATGGGCATATTTTTAAGATTTTAAGCAGATAAAGTCCCGAGCCCTGATTATTATCAATGATTCATTGTTTTTCGTGAAGAGTAGATAATATCAAGTAGCATGCTTAGTTTTTTATTGAGTCTGTCATAACATTGTGGAGCAGTACAAGAAACTCAATCTTTTACTTTGAGAGTAGAATTTTTTTTTTGTGGAAGGTCGGATCAAGTTGGTTCTTTAGTAAAGGAAATTAAAAAATATAATAAAATGCTCACTTCTTTCAACAATAACTGGAAAACAAACTTATGGTAAGACATGAAACTCGAAACCAGTTTTTGAAAACATCAATTTTGTTGTAGTTCGTACATTTAAAGTTAGTTAATTTTTTTTCTATTAATATTATAAAAATCGTCTACTTATTTCAGTTTTTTTTCAACAATTTTGTTTTTAAATACTAACTTATAAGGATTGACAGTTAAATAAAAGGTTCTTTATAGTTTGTTCATTATTTAAAAAAATGAATAATAATAAAATACATTGTCATGATTTGGATTTATATGAGTTAAAAGTTCAATTTTTGTCCCTCGATTTGTTGACGTTTTTTTGATCTTTTAAAACTAGTTTCGTATGTAAATGTTAAATTATTATTTATTTCAGAAACGACAACATCAAAGAGTCTGAAGTTAAGCTTTTATGAAGATTGCATTGATAGAGACCCAAGTGTTTGCAATCCAAAAATAAGAAGCAATGCAGACTACATACGTTACTTTTCAGAATCAGAAAAACAGGAATGTAAGAATTTCGAACAAATCGGTGAATCGATGAATGATGTCTTACAATTTTGTGTCGATATGGGTGTCAGTTCTTGGTTTGGTGGAACAGAAACGGGTTTACAGGAATGGCCTCTGAATAAACTTAATTGGACCGACAGATCTTATGTAACAAAAGACATGTGGAACACGGATGTGATAGACCACCAATCAGTGAGTAATTATTATCCTTTAAGGCAAAGTGATTTTATACCGATTACCGAAACAGATTTTTTGTTATTTTTTTTGTGCGGTTTTTCAACGTGTCATTCTATTGGAGCCATCGCCAATTGAAAGCGTTTGTGAAACTGTACATTTTGTTTTTTGTTTCATCGTTGTTCTATATCAAATAGTAATTATTTGATATCAAAAAGTAAATTATGTATTTTTTTTGTTTAGTTTATTAGAAAAAAATATGCGTGAGTCAAAAGGCTAAAACTGATTAAAATATTAAAATTACATCTGTATTCTTATTGTTTAATCTATCTATTGTATTTTATCATAGATAGCATTATCATTTTTTCAATAGAAAACAAAGCAAATTCAAAAAAAGTTTTGTCTGAGTTCAGACATTTCATTATTAGGAAATATTTGATTTTAATTTTCGTGATGTTTGTGAGAATTTTATTTATGAATTTGGTACTCTGTAAGTATCTCTCTTCAAATCAAATAATGAAACTGGGTATTCAACTTAAACATCAAATTAATCACGTCTTCAGTGATAACATATTTAGTTTTAAAACAAATAATAATATTCAAGAAATTAATATCACTATTAAAACTATACTTTTCTTTCAGATCGTAGAGTCATATTTCTTCAATTCTGACGGGTTTTACATACACATCAACGATTCGGTCGCCTTATTTGTAGACATCAATGGCCCCAGACCGGGAAAAATGTGTTTTGCCGCTAAAGTTGTGTCTCCTTACAGAAAAGTTAGAAATTTCATGCAATTCCGGGTTTGCAAATTTAGTGATCCCCGAAAAGCTCACGAAAACGCCATTAAAGATTTCCTCGGTTCGCCCACCTCCATACCCGATCCTTACGTAGTGAAGCACCCGATTTGGTCGACTTGGGCAAGGCATAAGGCTGACGTCAATACATCTGCCATTTTGAATTACGCTCAGG